GTCTGCCCTCCTGCCGCCACCTGTGGGGGGCCACGCGGGCCTCAGCCAGCAGGGGCGTGTTGGAGGGAAGGGCGGGCCCTGGGTCCCTGGGCGGGTCCCTGTCGCGCTCACAGGGAGGGGCCCAGCCCCACATACCCCCAGCCACCACTGGTGTCTCGGCTCGGGTGTGGGTCCACCCACAGAACCGTCTGACATACCTCCCCAGCAGCACACATCCCACACACTCTGACGGCATCGTCCCTGTCATGGGACGTCCAGAGAGCAGTGGGGCACCGGGGCCTTGCCTGGCTGGACTTGGGGGCAGGAAGAAGGGTCAGGCGAGGCAACCTGGGAGGGCAGGGCACGGGGTCTGCAGCCGGACCTCGGGGGAGCAGCCGTGGCTGGGGTCAGAGGGAGCCCCACGCTGCCATGCAGCTCCGGGCTGCAGAGCTGCCAGGTGGCGGAAGGGGCACCGGGCCGCCCCTTGTCCCCCCCAGGCCATGCCCTAGGGTGCTGACAGTGCAGGGACAAGCGGGTGACCAGGGCAGGTGGTTATTCCCCCCTGGGCCTCAGTCCTGATGGTGAGGCTGGAGGCAGCATGCCTGTTGGTTCCTGGGAGCACCCGGGCCTGGCAAGAGGCAGGTGTGTGGGGGGCCCTCAGGGCAGCCCTGTGTCTCAGGCTCCCAGACTCCCTGTCAAGGCGGGTCTCAAGACTGCCCGGTGCTGGGCTTGGGGGGCCTGCGTCCGGGCAGGTAAGGGGATCGAGGCCGGTGGCTGGACCTGGCCTTGGTGGGGCCCAGAGCAGTGGCCTGCACCGAGGGCAGGGTTTGGCTTCCTGTTGCTCCGAGTCTTGGAAATATTGGGGTCCCTGACTAAAGCCAGAAGATACGGTGTGAGTGAGGATTAAAGCCCACATGTACCAGCGCTCTCGGGACCCTCTTCCTCCTTCTAAATACTTGCAAGTGTCCCCCTGTGGTTGAGATTATGAGGGACACCGGGACACACCCCCAGAAATCGCCCGAGCGAGAACCGCCCACAGAAGCATGGCAGGTTTCGGGGGGGGGAAGACCGGCAGGGCTGGTCTCACCCTGGGGTGGGGCCATGGGTCTGATCGGGCCCAGAGGAGCAAGTCCCAGCACCTGTCCCGCCACAGGTGACACGGCGCACAGCCCGGCTGGTGGCCGAGTGGCAGTGCGTGGGCTTCTGCCATGGCGTGCTCAATACCGACAACATGAGCATCGTGGGGCTCACCATTGACTATGGGCCTTTCGGCTTCCTGGACAGGTGAGCAGACCCAGGGGGCACAGGTGAGAGGCTGCCAGCAACCCGCTACTCACCCAGGAATGGGCCCCAGGGCAGAGATGCCCAGGGTGCCGGGGTGGCAGGGAGGAGGGCCGTGGAAAGGCTGGCTATCCGGTCACTCACGTTGGTGCACGGCCCCCAATGTAAATGTGACAAGCTTTTCAAAGGAATAAGAAAAGCAATGGGATTGTAGGGTGGGGACGGGAGCAAGTGGCGAGGAGGAAGCAGGGCAACAGTCTGGGCCCCGAGGGCAGCGCCCAGGCAGCTCCCGATAGCGCTGATGGGCTGGTGGCTGGGGTGGGAAGGAGATCAAGGGCACTCAGAATCCTTGTCCTGAGACTGTCGGGACAGGACAGGCAGGCGGTGGCCGCACAGGCTCTGCCTTTGGGCCTCCCCTCCAGGGGGCCCGGCCTCGTCCCTTCCTGTCCCTCAGCAGCCGGTGCCCTCGCTGTGCGACAGGTACGACCCTGACCACGTGTGCAACTCGTCCGACAACACTGGGCGCTACGCGTACAGCAAGCAACCGGAGGTGTGCAGGTGGAACCTGCAGAAGCTGGCCGAGGCCCTGGAGCCAGAGCTGCCCCTGAAGCTGGGCGAGGCCATCCTGGTCGAGGAGTTCGACACCGAGTTCCAGAGACACTACCTGCAGAAGATGCGCCGGAAACTGGGCCTCGTGCACCTGGAGCTGGATGAGGACGCAGCACTGGCGGCCAGACTCCTGGAGACCATGCACCGGACTGGTGGGTGACCCAGGCATGCACCACAGCATGCTCCGGACTGTGCACTGTATGGCTGTGTCCTTGCCGCCACGTGTCTTAATCGTACGCTCTCCTCGCACCCTGGGCTGTCTTTACTCTTGCCGCCATGTGCCTTCTCCACACGCCGTCCTCGTACACCTGGCTGCTCTTCCTCGCTCCTGCCTACAGTGCCACTATGCAAACGAGTGTGCAGGTGTCCGGGTCCATTCCCAGTCCTTTGGGCCACACAGCAGGGTTCTCGGTCAGATATGTGCCTTAACAGCTCCAACTTGAACCTCTGCGGTGTGTGAACAGAAGCAGCAGGAGTGGGCACCCTCGTCCTGCCCCTCGTCTGTGGGTTGCCACTGAGGATGGTGTCAGCTGCGAGCTGCTCTGTGTAGGCGCTTACCACAGCAAAGTTTTCCTCTAGTCTGGGTGACTTTACCAGGAAAGGCTGTTGGATTTGGTCAAATGCTTTCACCTGCAAGAGTCGGCCATGTGGTTTTATTCCTTCCTTCGCAACTCCTTGCAATCTAGGGAGAAATGCTGCCTGGTCCTTTGAATGTGAGGTATAATCCTTCTAACATGTCGAATTTTGCTCTTACTGGGAGGACTTCTATGTCTGTATTCATGTAGGAGATTGGCCTGTAGTTTTTTCTTTTTTCTTGGAGTGTCTGTTTGGCTTTAATATCAAGGCAGTGTTGACCTTGAGCATGAGTTAGATATTCCTTTCTCTTCTATTTTCTTTCAAAATGTTTTTCTTTTGTTTTGAGTTGGAGTCCCACTCTGTCCACCCAGGCCAGAGTGCAGTGACACGCTCATGGCCACCGCAAGCCTTGACTTGCTGGGCTCAGGCGATCCTTTCGCCTCAGCCTTGCAAGTAGCTGGAACCACTACGCCTGGCTAATTTTTGGATGTAGAGATGAGGTCTCACCAAGTTGCCCAGGCTGGTCTCAAATCCCTGGGCTCAGGGAATCCTCTTGTCTCTACCCCCCAAAGTACTGGGATGACAGGCTGGTAAGAATACTTAACATTTTTAAGTGTGCAATAAGTGGACACACGTTGCTGGCCATAGGTACAATGTTGCACAGTAGGTCTCTAGAGCTTATTCATCTTGCTTGATTGAAACTTCATGTTGATCGGTAATTCCCCGTTTCCCCTCCCTGCAGCCCCTGGTAACTACCATTCCTCACTTTGATTCTGTGAATTTGACTGCTCGACACTTCATGTGAGTGGAGTCATGTAGTGTTTCTTTCAGTCCTCTCGTGTGATCCCTTATTGGTATACTCAGCAACAATGTCCTCACTCATTTGAATTTAGCTGCCCTCTCTTTCACCAGTCTGTTCTTTCATTTGTCTCCCTCCAATCCTTAGCATTTCCTTCCCTTTTGTTAACTTTGGTCCTACTTTTGCTCTTATTTTTTTGAAGACAGTGTCCCCTCTACTGCCCAGGCTGGAGTGCAGTGACACAATCCTAGTTCACGGTAGCTTCCAACTCCTGGGCTCAAGTGGTCCTCTTGCCTCACCTTCCCAAAGTGCTGGGACTATAGGTACACACCACCATGCTCAGCCTTTGTTTTTCTCAATTCCTTAGGTATAAGGTTAGAAGTTAGTGATTTATTTTTTAATGTAGGCGTTTACAGCTGTACATTTTCTTCTGATCACTGCTTTTGCTGTATCCCATAAGTTTTCGTGTGTTCTGCTTTTTTAAATTTACAAAATTGTAAGTGATTTTTAGTTTCACTCCATTGTGGTTGGATTTCAGTCTTTTTAAACGTATTAAGACTTGTTTTGTGGCTTAATGTTATGGTCTGTCCTAGAGAGTGGCCTTTGTGCATTTGAGAAGGTGGTGTATTCTGCTTGTGTTGGGTATTCTATTGGCGGGGAGACCCAGAAATACCCAGAACTAGTTTTTGGATGACAGGCCCCTTGTAGTAGAGACCTCCCTGCTAGGTAAGCATTCCAGAAGCCGTCAGCACCAGTGGACTCGCTAGCATGGTCGTGAAAGACTGCATTTGGCCTAAGTTTTTTATTCTTTCAGCGTGTTTGTCCATTTCACGATGGGTGATGTTTTACAAGTACACCTGCCCACATGGCAGTGAGTGTTCAGCACTTTTTCACCCCCAAACAGCATAACCCCCATGCCCCAGCCTCCCTATTCACCTGCTCTCACCCCAGGCGACTTTTGTTTCCCCATATGAAAGAAATCCTCAAAGGGAAACGTTTTACTGATGTAGAAGAGGTGAAACAGAAAACATCAGAAGCACTAAAAGGTGTCCAAACTGATGCATTCAAAAATGGTTCTGAGCAGTGGAAAAGCATCCTAATAGGTGCACTGCATCAGACAGAGAGTATTCTGAAGGTGACTCAAGTTTTAACATGTAAGAATGCACGTTTTTGGCAAACTCCATGTTTCTGGGGTCCCCTCGTGTATGTCTTAGGCCTGTTTTATTCCTGCTGCTGTTGAGGCCCTCTCCTTCCTCACTGATCTGGGGAGACCCTCCGTCCAGAGTGGCGTCTTGCAGTCTCCGACTGTGACTGTGGAGCTGCTGCTTCTCCCTTCGGTTGTTTGCTTGCGGCACGTCTCTCAACAGTTTCGTGTGTCTTGCGCATGCTTCCTTGTTCCTCGTTTCCTCCGTTACTGCCGCCTCTCGTGTTTGGTTGGTTTTTGTAACACACAGTTTTGACTCCTTTCGCGTTTTCGTTTGTTTGGCAGATGTTTTCTTGGGGGTTACCATGGTTGTCACTGTTTCCAGGACTCAGGCTAAGGACCTCATGGCATCTGGCACATGTTGGGCCCGGGTGTGTCACAGCAGCTTCTCAGCAGTCTAGCTCCCAGAGCGTGTGGCAGTGATTGTGACCACAGCCACAGGGCCAGGTGCCAGCCTCAGTGCCTTTGCAGTGCCTCCACCCATTTTACACCCATTTACATTTGACTGGCAGGTTCAGAGAATGGTGGCCAAGCTGAGAGACAGGTGGAGGCTGGGGAATGGGGCCATGGAGGGGTCAGGAGCTGAGCAGGCCTCGATACAGGTGCTGGGCAAGCCTTGGGGTCTGTCTGGTATGGTGCAGTGTTGCGGCAGGGAAGCTGGAGCTGTGATGCCCCGCCCTGAGCAGCTTGTGTTCCAGGTGCCGACTTCACGAACACCTTCTTCTTGCTGAGTTCCTTCCCAGTCGAGCCTGAATCGCTGGGCCTGGAGGAGTTCCTGGCCACGCTGCTTGCACAGTGCGCCTCCCTGGAGGAGCTAAGACGTACCTTCCGACCCCAGATGGAGCCCCGGTGGGTACTTGGGTCTTGCTTCCTTGGACTTTGTTTCCAGAAAGGGAGGAAGACTCAGGCTGGACTCGGTGGCTCAGTCTGTTATCCCAGCACTTTGGGAGGCCAAGACGAGTGGATTGCCTGAGCCCACGGTTCGAGACCAGCCCAGGCAACTTGGCAAGCCCTCGTATCTACAATAAAATTTTTTAAATGGGCCAGGCGTGGTAGCACACGCCTGTAGTTCTGGCTACTTGGAAGGCTGAGGGAAGGATCGCCGGAGCCCAGTGGGTTGATGCTGGGGTGGCCGTTGAGAGTGCTCATGCACTCCAGCCTGGGCGACACAGTGAGACTACAACTCAAAAAAAAGGGGAGGAAGATTCAGAAGCAGAGGACCCAGGAAAAAGTTGGAGGAGTGCTAACAGACCCTGTGGGTGGGGTCTGGGGCAGTGCTGGGGCCATGCTGACATGTCTGGGGGCTAGGCAGCACGGGCTGGCAGACAATGGTCTCCGCTCACCAGGGAAGATGGGCCCAGACTCCTGGCAGATCGTGCTTTCCACACCACCTCCCAGCGGAAAGAGCCTGCCGTGTCTTCAGTGCTGCACATTTTCACGATGGGATGTGGCTTTTGACTTGAAAAACAGGCCAGCAGGGCCTGCTGAGCATGAAGCCCCCTCAACTGAGGAAGGGTGGTCACTGCCCATGCAGCCTCTCCAGAAATGGGTTTGGCCCTGCCATCACTGCGGGAAGTACTGGCGGCTGTGGCAACCCACAGGCACTAAACTCGGGGGTCAGTGGTTCTGCAGGCCCCACCCTCAGCCTCTCTGGGACCCATGGGCTCACTCCCCCATGGAGCTCAAGGCTGGAGGGCAGAGCAGGCCGGGCCAGCAGCAGGGTGGGCGCCTGTGCTCTTGCACACGGAACAAGACCGGGACTGCCTGCAGGGTCTCAGCCACTGCCTCCTGGTGCTCCTCTCCCGCAGGCAGCTCTCGATGATGCTGATGTTGGCGCAGTCAAACCCACAGCTGTTTGCACTTATTGGCTCACGGGCCAACATCACCCGGGAGCTGGAGCGGGTAGAGCAGCAGTCCCGGCTGGAGCAGCTGAGTGTGGCCGAGCTGCAAAGCAGAAACCGGGCCCACTGGGTGGACTGGCTCCAGGAGTACAGGTGAGCCCTGCACCCAGTAGTTCGAGTTGCCGACACCTCACTGCTGCGGCCACCAGGTGAGGTGGCCGCATGCAACTTCAGGGGGGTTGTCGTGGGCTGCCTGCCATGTGGCGAAAGACCAGCCCGGATGTGGTTCCAGAGCCCGGCTGGACAAGGACAGGGAAGGTGTTGAGGATACCACCACCTGGCAGGCCGAGCACACACGTGTGATGCGTGCCACCAACCCAAAGTATGTCCTGAGGAACTACATCGCGCAGAACGCCATCGAGGCGGCTGAGCACGGAGACTTCTCAGAGGTGAGCGCCACCTACCCCATGGTCCCTGAGAGGGAGGGTGGCTTCTGATCCCCCAACCCCCACCCTTGCGCTTCTCCAGGTGCGGCGTGTGCTGAAGTTGCTGGAGACCCCTTACCACAGCGAGGAGGGGACCGCCGCAGAGCCGGAGGCGACCAGCGGGGAGCACACGTACAGCAGCAAGCCCCCACTCTGGGCGGCTGAGCTGTGTGTGACATGATCCTCGTAGTGGCCTCGGGCACTCCCCAGCCTGGAGTCTGAGGCCCCCCAGTGCTGCTGAGTTGTTGAGATGGGGCCAGCCGCCCTCCGCACCCAGCAGGGGCTCCCCCTGCCACGTGTGGCGGCGCAGCGGGCCCACACGCTCGTCTCTCCATGACGGCAGAGACACCCAGTCAGGACCTGACCTGTCTCTGTCTGACACCGGCTCAGCGACACAACCCAGTCTAGTGCACAGCCCAGCGCTCAGCTCCCCACAGGGCCATGCCTGGGGGCATCCTGGCCCCTACAAGCGTGTCTCCCCAGCGCCTCAATAAACCAGCAGCTTCTTCCCGCTGCCTTGTGTGGTCCCTCCTCCCTCCCACCGTGCCCCACCTGAGAGAGAGGCCGAATGGAAACAAGGACGCCTTTATTGAGAGGTTCCACAGGCGAGCCTTCAGGCGTCCTGGTAGTAGTTGTTGAAGTTGATGCGCAGCAGGAAGTCCTCCAGGTGGGGCTGGTAACCGCGGTTCACCAGCTTGGTCACCACTGGGGAGAGCAGGCAGCTCAGACGCGGCCGCTGGGGTCAGAGCCCTCCCGTGTGCTCACGCCCCACCCCCACATCCTGCCCTTCAGGGCTGGGCCTCACCTTTGAAGAGGAAGTGGGAGTAGTATCTAAAGGTGTTGTAGGACTGCTGCATGAGGGCAAAGTTGGGGTGCTCGGCGCCCCGCGGCCCATCCGCAGGGCCCCAAGCCTGCGAGATGAGCTGGCTGCGGAACTTGAGCACCAGGCTGAAGACACTGTGGATGATGTTCATGACCGGCGCCGCCTTCTCCGTCAGCAGGCCCCTGCAAGACGCGTGCTGTGGGTGGGCTGTGCCTGGCCACAGGGCACATCAGGCGCTGTGGCGTCCAGGGCCCCCCTCACCTGAAGACAGCCTTGTGCAAGTACTCGGCGTGGGCGCGCTGGATATCCTCGAGGTCCGCGGCTGCGGCCAGCCTGGCCCTGAACTCGCACCAGGTGACGTGCAGGATCTGGCTGGCGATGTAGCCCTGGATGACCTTCACGAAGTGCTGCATCTCGTGCTTGAACAGCTGCAGCTGGCGGAACTGCACGGAGCTGGCCATGCGGCTCAGCAGGGCTGGGCAGAGAGTGGAAGGTAAGTGGCAGCCCAGCCTCGGGCGGGCTGCCTAGGGCTGGGGCGGCACGGCCCGGCAGGCCCCACCTGTGCGCTTGAGGTGGAAGCAGACGTCCTTGAGCGTCCAGGTCACGAGTTTCAGCTGCAGCAGGAAGGAGAAGATGCCGTTGTACTTGCTCAGGCAGCTGTCAGTGATGACGACGTTGAGCGGCCAGTCGACCTGTGGGGAGCCCGGCTCAGCGCAGCCCCACAGTGTCCCCGCCGCACCCCGCAGGTGACCAGGGCTGCTGCTGACCTTATACCTGAGCTCCAGGCAGCTCAGCGCGTCGGGGGCGTTGGGGGCAAACGCCTCGGGCAGGTACTTGAGGGCGAAGGAGAGGTTGGCAGCGTGCGGTGTGTCCCCCGTGCAGGCTGCACTGCAGGGCCTTGCTCAGCACCGAGTTGAGCGCCAGCGGGCTGAGCAGCTCTCCCGGCGTCTGCCCAGCCCCGAGCTGCAGCAGGAGAGGGCAGGGCATCTGACCCGGCCAGCCCAGCCCCTCCCGGTCCGGGGGCCGCGCCCTCCGCCACCTGCCCCCCACCCCCAGCCGCGCGGTCACCTTCTCGAAGAGCAGGTCACTGAGCGACTGGGCGAACTCGCCGTCCTCCATCAGCAGGAAGTGCCGCAGCGCCTCACAGTGCGCCTCGAGCTGCAGCTCCACGAAGTAGTAGTCCACGGCGGCCTTGTTCACCAGCGAGATGCTGCGGGTGGGTGGGGCAGACGGGCGTCAGGCACTGGCCGGGGCGTGGCATGCACAGCGGGGAAGGGGCAGGGCGGGCGCGGTGCTCACTGGGCGGCCAGCGGGGCAGTGACTGAACGCTTCATGAGGACGGGCAGCGTCAGCAGCTCGCTCAGCTGCACTGCACTCCCGTCGGCAGCTGGCTGCACCTGGGGGTCCACTGGGAAGGCGGAGGCCCGCGGGAGCACGTGGCGCAGAAGGTGCGCGGCCGGAGGCTCTGCTGCAGGGCGAGACCCAAGGCGATTGTGCCGGATTCACGGGACCCAAGGAGCCGGCCTTCCCCGCGGGCCACCACTCACACATGGCCTCGTAGTTGTCCGGATACTGCTCCAGATGGTACCGTGCCGCCAGGCCCGCCAGGGAGGCCGGCTCCGCGCCATGCTGGGCCTGGGCCGGGGGCTCAGCCGCCTCCACTGCCTCTACACCGGGGCCTGGGCTGCTCCCGGCCGCTGTGTCCTCCTAGCAAGATGCCGGCCTCCTAGCGTCGCGCCCCACCCAACGCAGCTGCCAACCCCCCTTGTGTTGGAGGCAAGGGCAGCCCCCATGGAACCCGGTGTGCTGGCCAGAGGGAGCGCCCTCCCCGCTGCCCATGACCCGGCCCCCACGTCCTCCAGACCTGTGAGTTCTGAGGCCAACTGGGAGAAGGCTCCTGAGGGTGTCCACTCCGCCGCCGGCCTGGGCACGCAGGAAGGGGGGGTCGGGAGGGTCAGGGCAAGCACCTGCTGAGGGGCCGGGGCCTGGCTCGGGCAGCACCTCCCAGGTCCCCAGGACAGCACTCAGGTCTCGACTGGAGGACAAGGAGCCTCATGGGCAGCGTCACACCTGCCACCTCCTCCCCCTGGGCTCTCTAGGCCCTGTGACACCACTCGTGACCACTCGTGACCACCCACTAACCCGTCCGACCTGGCTCCTCAGGGACACTGTCTCCTGCAGCAGAGGGCGTGGTCTGAAGGCTGCTCTCCTCCTTGTCTTCCAGGCTGGGGGAGCAGGCGGAGGGCACCACTTCTGCAGGGGAGGGTGGCCCATGTCCCAGGGTGGGGCTCCGTGCACCAAGGCCGAGGTCTGACTGAGACGCGTGGCCAGGGGAATCCTCTTGGACCCTGGGTATGTTGGGCACAGCCTCAGGTAACAATGACCCCAGCATCACGTGGGACTGAGAGAGGTGTCTGTGGGCATCCCACCGTGGCAGGGTAGAAGCCACATCTGATACATTCTCTTCCATGCTGATGCTGGCATCTGACCAGTATCTGTGTCCATCCCACTGTGGCTGGGTAGAAGCCACGTCTGTCACATTCTCCCCAACCTTGATGCTAGCATCTGACACGTGTCCATGAATGTTCCACCGTGGCCGGGTAGAAGCCACATCTGACACGTTCTCCCCAACTCTGATGTTGGCGTCTGACACATGTCCATGAATGTTTGACCGTGGCAGAGTGGGAGCCACATCTGATACATTTTCCCCGACTTTGATGCTGGCATCTGACACGTGTCCATGAATGTTCCACCGTGGCTGGATAGAAGCCACATCTGACACATTCTTCCCCATACTGATGCTGGCATCTGACACATGTCCGTGGATGTTTGGTCGTAGCTGAGTAGGAGCCACGTCTGACACATTCTCCCCAAACTTGATGCTGGCATCTGACACATGTCCACAGATGTTCCACCGCGGCCGGGTAGAAGTCGCGTCTGACACATTCTCCCCAACTCTGATGTTGGCATCTGACACAAGTCCATGAATGTTTGACCGTGGCAGAGTGGGAGCCACGTCTGATACATTCTCCCCAACTCTGATGCTGGCATCTGACACGTGTCCATGGATGTTTGGCTGTGGCAGGGCAGAAGTCACATCTGGTACATTCTTCCCAACCCTGATACTGGCATCTGACACATGTCCGTGGATGTTCCACCGTGGCCGGGCAGAAGCCACGTCTGACACATTCTCCCCAACTCTGATGTTGGCTTCTGACACATGTCCGTAGCTACTTGACAGTGGCAGAGTGGGAGCCAAGACTGACACATTGTCCCCAACCTTGATGCTGGCATCCGACACATGTCCATGGATATTCCACCGTGGCCGGGCAGAAGTCACATCTGACATGTTCTCCCCAACCCTGATGCTGGCATCTGACACGTGTGTAAGGATGCCTGACTGTGGCTGAGTGACAGTCATATCTGACACACTCTCCCCCACATTGATACTGGTCTCTGACACATGCCCATGGATGTTCCACTGTGGCTGGGTGGGAAGCATTCCAGAAGCATGGCCCCCTGTGGGAACCCCATCCCCTGACACATGCCCTAAGAGCTGCTCTGTGGGCTGGCAGTACCCCTCTGGGGAGGTGACATGCCCAGGTGCATGTGCATGAAGCAGAGCCACCTGTGTAGCAGGGACATGTGTGTCCAGCTTCCTGTGATTGTCGCCTGACAGCTGGTGCCCTGAGCTGCCCAAGTTGTCCTCTACAGCCTGGAGGAGCCCTGGTGTCAGTGAGGCAGCCACAGTGGGCCTCAAGACAGTACTGAAGTCATACTCCTGTGGCCTGGAAGACCAAATGCTGGTGGCTGCAGGGGCCTCCCCAGGAGCTAAGAGGGATAGGTCAGTGCTGATGGTCTGCAGAGCCTCCTCCAGGAGAGGGACCGTGCTGGTCTGCGCAGATTGCTCAGCCCCCAGGCCCACGGGAAGGAAGTCTCCAATGCTAAGGCCAGCCGAGAACGGCCCAGTGCCCTCTGCCTGCTGGGGCCCTGGGTCACCGGTCTCGACTGCTGGAGACTCCAGGGGCAGCGGCATCGGTGTGGCCAGGCCATCCCAGGCATCCACATGTTGCTGTGAAGGCTCAGAATCACAGCCTCGGCCTCCCTCTGGGTGCTCAGGGCCTAGACACATGACCTGAAGCACAAGTGCCATTAGACCCAGGTTGATTTCATGTTCCCTCTGACAGCTAACCCTGTCCCGTAAGTCAGGTCTGCAATCTTGAGCGACACTTGCCAAGTGCTGAGGACTATGGGGACGGGGACATGGCCAAGCCCAGCACACCCTTCTCAGAGCTGGTCAGAGCCCCAGCGCCCTGGACCCAGCCCTGACTCCTCACCTGGGCGTGTGCACTTGAGGGGACATCCAGGATCTCCTGGGGCGTGTGTGCCACAGACGAGTCTCTTAGCATCCTCTGGAAGTCGCGGCAGCAAGACAAGAGCAGCAGCTGTGTGGGGTGTCTGGCCGAGCTGGCGCCCAGCAATCCCCACATGGCAGCCCTCTGCAACAGAAGTCACAGGCCCTGCCACCCATAGCTGCCACACACACTGGACAAGATGAGGCTTGTGCAGGACTCTGGGAGCCGGGGCTGCAGAAAGCCCTGGGCAACCACAAGCCCTTCACTGCCCACATGTAACTTGGTGGCATAAATGGAGAGATGCCACGCCCCCATGCTGGGGCACCACCAACCCTCTCCCACAGAGCCACATGGGTCTGTGCGTCATTTCAGGGACTCAGGGACCCAGAAGCCCGGGGAAGCACTCCCATGAGACCTGAATGCGCTTCTGATCTTCCAGGAGGAAGCGAAGCCGTGCGCTCTCCAGCCGGTGCCTCTGGAGTCTCCACAGAGCCCTCTGCTCCCGGCGAGCTGCCTCTGCAGACAGCTGGCTGTAATGGTCGACCAGCGCTTGCCTGCAGCCACACCCAGAGAGGACAGGTCACGAGCGCCACCGCCCCATCCGGTGCGTACTGCCTCCATCTTCCCCAGCCCCCAGCTGGTGCCTCTAGGCCCTCACAGCACCTGCAGGGGCACCCGCAGACAGGCCACTCCACCTCCGGACCCGGAGACCTTGGCAGGCGGAGGACTGGGGCTTAGCAGTGTTGTTGAGGATGACATCCTACACAGCCTGAACCCCGGGGCTGGACAGGGAGCTGAGGGCCCCAGCCCTGCTAGGAAGCAAGGCAGCTTCCTGCTCTGCAGATGCAAACCCCAAAGAGCTGAAGGCTGAAGTTAAAAGTACATGAAGCAGGCCCAACGCCAGTGTTGTATGTGCCAAAGTCAAAGCTCACCCATCACTCCCAATGCCTGGAAGCCTCTCCTGCAAGTCGCTGGGCTCAGGCCTGGACTGGCATCCCCAGTTTGGCCACTGCAGGCCAGAAACGTCAGCTCTGTGCCTTGTCCTCTCCAAGTGTGAATAGGACAACACCTACCCACATGCATGAGCACACACCCAGACACGTGTACACACACAGGCACACATGCCTACTGCACATCCCTGCCTGGCTCCATGAATGGAATCTAAGGGAGGGACAACTAAGCACCCGTGACACTGAGTGGCAAGTGGCCAGCCCCTCCCATGAGGAGCTTTCTCTAAGATGTGAACAGCCCCTTCAAGGCTCCAGCTTTGTTCCCGGCTCACGGGACAAGCTACTGACACAAGAAGATAGACTCATGGGCTCAGTGCTGGGCAAATGCCCCACCTCTCTGTCAGGCCAGTAACACTTCAAAGATAAGTAACAGCAGCCTGGCACACTGGCTCATGCCTGAAATCCCAACACTTTAGGAAGCCAAGGGGGGAAGATCACTTGAGCCCAGGAGTTCGAGACCAACCTTGGCAACATAGCAAGACCTCATCTCCACAAAATATATCAAATAATTAGCCAGACATAGTAGCATGCATCTGTAGTCCTAGAACGCAGGAGGACCACCTGAGCCCAGGAGTTCAAAGCTGCAGTGAGCCATGATTGTGTCAATGCACTCCAGCCTGGGCAACAAAGCAAAACCCAAACTCATTTAAAAAAAAATTAATTAATAGGAGCAAGAGCTGTTTAGAATTAAGATAGGGACAGGATGCCAGATGCATGTAGCATGTGGACCCTGCTTGGATTCTAATCCATGCAAACCAGCTATAAGACACTGAGGACAGCACACAATGTCTTAATGTGGCAAGATGGCATAACCACTGACCAAATCCAGTGGGCGTTCCGGACTTGGTACACTGATCTATCTTAATATATGCTTGACACTTTTCAGGTTAAAAAGTACAATCTAGTGGGTGTGGTGGCATGCATCTGTAGTTCTAGCTACTTGGAAGGCTGAGGCGGAAGGATCACCTGAGCCCAGCAGGTCGAGGCTGCAACAAAAGTGAGACTCCAACTCAAAAAAAAAAAAAAAGTACAACCAATCAGCTGGATGCTGTGACTCAAGTCTGTAATTTCAGTACTTTGGGAGGCTGATGCAAGAGGATTGCCAGAGCTGTTTGAAACCAGCCTGGGCAACTTGGTGAGACCTCATCTCTACAATAAATCAAAAAATAAGATTGGGCTGGGTAGCTCAGCCTGTAATCCCAGCACTTTGGGAGGCCGAGGCGAATGGATTGCCTGAGCCCATGGGTTCGATACCAGCCCGGGCAACTTGGCGAGATTTCATCTCTACAATAAATCAAAACTTAGCTGGGCATGGTAGTGTGCTCCTGCAGTTCTGGCTACTTGGAAGGCTGAGGCAGAAGGATCCCCGGAGCCCAGCAGGTCAAGGCTGGGGTGGCTGTGAGTGTGCCCCTGCACTCCAGCCTGGGTGACAATGAAACTCCAACTAAAAAAAAAAGTAGCCGGGTTCGGTGGCTCAACCTGTAAACCCATGCTTTGGGAGGCTGAGGTGAGTGGATTGCCTGAGCCCACGGGTTTGAGACCCGCCTGGGCAACTTGGCGAGACCTC